AATTTTTTTATCCAATCAGAATTAGTATATAATGCATTCTGATTGGTTAAAAAGCATTTATATATACCTAAAATTTGATGCACTTGATGAGAAGTGACTTGGAGCACCATATAATGAATAGGCCTACTATTCTCAACTTGTAAAGATTGAGTTGACAATATCTAAATTAGATTCTGTATTGTTAAAAGATTTAACAAAATCATCAAATATATCTTGAATATTTATTTCAGATATTTTTTTGAATAATAAAATTAAAAAAAAAAAACTTTATTATTTTATATAAACTTGAGACAATTATTAAGTAATTGATTGTAACTAATAGTAAAACTTTATATTTTGCGAATTACTCAAATACTAATTTCTTTATTACTTTTATCGTTAGTATTTTTAATACTAACAGCTAATATTAATTAATATTAACTTATATTATTTTTTAATTGTTGTAATTGTATGTATATATTGCATATATATGCATAATATTAAACAATTAAACTAATCAAACCGAAGCTTAAACTAGTTTAAGCCGTCTTAAATTTTTTTTGGTTTAAAATATGGCTAACCAGTTTGCCAAACCAATTACTATCCCTATTTCCAAGACAAGAAAAATGTAATACAAAATATTATAAGATCCCTAAATTTGTTTTAACTGTTATATATAATCAATAATGATCTAAAGCTAAAAGAATTTATTTCTAGTATATACACAGTAAATAATAACTCATCCCTAAATGTAGATAGAATTTATATAATTAAATAAATAATATTTTATATAACGATAATGCTAGACTTTGAATCATAAAATTATATATGTGTCTATAAGGTATCTTTTAATAATAAATATTGCATATCTTTGGTTTTGAAGCAAAAAATACTTTCTGGACTAATTTTACACATACCATACACAATATTATTTTAATAGAATTGAAATACAAAAACCTAATCTTAAGGTAAATGACAACATAGCTATAGTTACTATAAAAATTCTATAAAGGCTACTATTTTCAAAATAATTCGTTTTTATTTAGTGGATTGGAATTTTTTTAAAGCAATGTCCATTAAGTATTCTAATTCATTGCTTTCTTCACATAAATGCCGGAATACACTACTTTCATTTAGAAGTAGGTTATATGGTGTATCAAATTCCACTACTTTTCCCCGATCTATTATTTAATATGATATTAAGCAAAAGGTTTGTATGAATAATGTAAATGAAAATATAATAGCTTACCAAGAACTAAGACCTGAAATACATGAATATAATGAAAGTTTAGGTTAAAAAATTTGTTATATATTAACAGTATAACTCAAGACTTACCCTATCATAGTCTATTATTGTTCTTAATCTATGAGCAATACATAATAGTGTTGCCCAATTAAATTCAGATCTAATAGTTTTTTGTATCTTAGCGTCTGTTTCTACATCAACGCATGCGGTAGCTAATTAAACCGAATAAAATAAAAATTAAATCTAATTAATGGTAAAATTCGGATTTATTTAACTTATATTTTAAAGCGAACCTTCATCCAATACAATAACCGGTGACCTCCTATAATATTAAAGGGTAAGTTTTTTAACTTAAAATTGCAATTGCTATGATTTCTTATATTAACATACCGTAACAACGCTCTTGCTAAACATATCAGTTGTCTTTGTCCTTGACTAAAATTATCTCCACCTTCTAAAACTTTAGCATGCAATTTATCATCAAATTGGGCAATGAAATCTTTCAAATGTGCACTTTGAAGTGCTTGCCAAATCTCAACATCATTGTGTGTCGCGAATGGATCAAGGTTGAAAAGAACTGATCCTATATTTGTAGTAAGCAAATATGAATATATGTGTACTATAGAAATAAGTCTTGCTAAAATAGATATGCAATTAATTACCTTCAAAGAGAATTGGATCTTGAGGAATGATGGTAATGCGTGAACGAAGATCATATAGCCCGATTTTTGATATATCCATACCGTCCTATTATATTGTATGTTATAATTAAAAATAATCATATAATCAATAAAGAACTAATATTTTATAAATACTATACCACAATAATAGCGCCGCCAGCTGCCTCTATTAGCCTAAATAAACTTAATGTCAAACTAGACTTTCCAGCGCCTGTTCTTCCTACTATTCCAATTTTTTCTTTTGGTTTCACAAGGAATGATATTCCCTATGTAAATAAAATAAGATATTTACGTAAGAATTGATTTAGATTTACACATATTAAACAATTTAACAAACCTTCAACACTAATTCAAGGCCAGATCTATATCGAGTTGAATAATTTTGATATTCAATTAGTCCATTTTGAGGCCATGCAGGTGCAGGACGATTATTAGGTATAACTGCAGGCGCTTCACTAGGTAAGTCAATATACTATCAAAAAAAAAGAGTTTATTGAAAATTTAAAATCCAATATACCAAGAAAAATTATAACAAACTTGACAGTTCTCACCTCTTTTACTCTTTCTACAGAAACAATGTTTGTCTAGTTATATAAAAATAGCAACAATTATTTAAATAAATTATAAAAATAAAATAAGACAAAAAAGTTCAATAAATCATTAAACCTCTATTTCACAGGACTGCCGAACTGCCCAATTCAAAGCTTGTGTAACACTAAGAGCATAAGTTAATGATAAGCCAACAAGTCCATCATCAATATTATTAAATATAACAGATGAAATAACGGCTAAAAGTGATGCACTAAAAATAATTAAAGATCCTAAAATTTTAAAAGAAAATTAGCAACCATATAGAATCACAGAATATATAAATGTCAAAGGATCCAATAAAGTTCAATAAAGTTCTCATTACCTAAAAATTCCAATCGAACAGCTAACCATCTGTTACAACATACAGATGGATAATAAGCCTTTTGATTTTGATCCAACCGAATCTCATTTTCAATGATAAAACGTTGTGATTGTTGATAAGCACGTATCGTTGTGACACCTCCCAAAGTTTCCTGAAAATGAGAATAAATAGGTGACCTAGTCAAAGAATCCAATCTTTTTAATTCTCTGGAAGTTGCTAAATAATACGTTTGTATATAGTTATACATGAATACTTAAGTAAAGAAATGATACATAAAGTTAGAATTCAAAAGCATAGTTAAGTAACATTGACTGAATATAAAGATAGGTATAAATTCTCACACATTGGAACAATAATCAGAATAAAAGCTGGTGTGGAAAACGAAATGACGGTTATCGTTGCTAAAACAGTAAAGAAGGTTCTGAAATATCCAGAAAATGTACGCGGAAGAACTTCATCAATGGTATATTGATCTTTGCTAAACCTATTTAGAATGCGACCTAAAGGAGTAGTATCCTATGGTATGAAAATTCGATGTGTAGTTAATAATTATTATAAAAATAACATACGATTCGAATATAACTGATAACTTACGAAAAAGGACATTGGAGACCTATAATTTGCACATATATTAGATTAATTACTAAACTACAATAAAAATCTTAAAAATAACTCATAGGCGAAAGATTTCGGAATACCTAATAATACTATTCAGCATTTTTTCATGCAAAATGCGAGCGGCTCTACGATAAATGAATTTAGAGAGGTAAATAAATCTATTGAATAAGAATAAACTTTTATATAATGTCAGTATAACTTACCGAATAGCACAAAATACCCAAAGTGTTATTGTTTGCACAACGGTCAAAAAAGAAAATGTAAGGCCAATAGCACCATATATAGCCAAATAGAATAAAGCATTGCTAGTATCATGTTGAGAACTCCAGAACTTAAGAAATACATTCAAACCTAAAAATATATGAAATATATGATTAATGTAATAGAATTTTAACATAACAATTATGACGAAAACAGAAAAAAGAAAATCACCAATTTGAGCGCTCTGAGCTAAAATCAACATGAACAGAAAAAATATTACTCCAGTAAAGGAGCATGAATTCATATATGTCATATAAACATTCCATGCAACTTTGCCTTTGATAATGTCTTCATTTACGATGAGAGCGTCCTTGCCATGTTCAGTGTCATGTTTGTTACTAACAGTAATAAGAGAAGGTCTTCGATGTAAACTCACAACGCTTACTCGTCTTTCTCGTGGACTCCGAGCAGTTGCTTCAGTTTTGAAGTCAATATTTGCCTCATCAACTTCATAAGTTTCTATCACTTCCGGACTTTGTATTTCCTCAACATCTTCAAAAGAAGTTTCTTGACCATACTCATTAATTAAATTGTATAATTCTTTCTTTTGTTTCATCAACTCATCAAAATGTCCTTGTTCAACAATTTCTCCATCCCGTAACATGATGAGAGAATTCGTTCGAGAAAGAAAATGTATTCCATTAGTAACAAACACTCGAGCCTTTGTCCGAAGAAGTCCAGTGGGACCGATAACTTGATCAAATATGTGTTTTCCTAAGAAAATAAAGATAAATAGTCATTTAGTATGAGTCAATTTCATTTGTAAAAAGAATAAGTAATATTGTCTAGACTCACCAACATGAGCATCGACAGCAGATAAAGGATCGTCTAAAAGCGGGATCAAATAAATTATATATATGTGAAAATAATATCATACAATATTGTTGATATATCAAGTTATTTACCAAATAAATAAATATCAGCACGTGCATAGACCGCACGAGCAAGTGAGATTCTAGCTTTTTGTCCACCAGATAGATTAATTCCTCGCTCGCCTATTTCTGTTAAATCACCACCTGGTAGAATTTCTATATCAGGCTTCAAACTGCAAGCGTCAATAACTTCTATTGAATTTAAATAAATTAGCTTCATCTACGGAAAGCATAGACAATAATTTAATATATGATATAAAAGTAAGAACCTTCATAAAATTTGGGTTCATATGGAAGTCCAAAAGTAATGTTATCTCGAAGAGTAGCATTCATGATCCAAGCTATAATTACATAAATTCGATTATTAAATCATGAATGACTTTAATAAATTATAGTAAGTAGAAAAAATTAGTAGCTTATTATTATTACCTGACTGTGGTACATAAGCAACATATCCGCTCTCTTGGGTGAAATGGATAAAATAGCCGGTGATGTTGTTATTCGCGGATATGTTGCTTATGTACCACAGTCAGGTAATAATAATAAG